TCTCTCTCTCTCTCTCTCTTCATATAGGAGAGACCCCCATCTGAACAAGCTTTGCAGAAGAGCCCTCAGATCTCACCGGAAGTCAGATTTGGCAAGTTGCCGGAAATGCGGAAATAGTGATCCCGAGTAAAGATCCTATACAGCACGATCCGTATCAGAAGGACCACTTTGAACAAGCAGGTACTGTCAGTGTTGCGAAACTCTAAACCCTAAGGTCCAAGCCCTAGGAAACCCTTACAGTTGCAAATGCCGCGCTCAGCCAGCCAAGGCTTGGACGACAGAGTGTGGCGTCATTTGGAATGGACGGCTCCAGCCTCATTTCATTTGGGGGTCAGAACAATTAGTAACTTCTTTCCCTACAAGTCCGAGCTATAAAAAGTCATAACATTCCGCAAAGTTCTGCTCCAAGCTTCAGGCCCCCCCCCCAACATTTGATGGATTGAGTTCGTAGGATTTCGGGGTTAGGGTTCAGGGTATAGAGGTATACGGTGTTGTGTAGGTGGTTTCGGGTCTAGGTTTCTACCTCCTCCCAAGCCTCAAGCGTGACCATGGCATTCTGGCAATGTCTGTACTCAGGAATAATGTACACAACGAGTGTGCATGCAAAAAAGCGGTGCGGATCCACGAGCAATGTTTATAACACAGTAACGTGCGTGCCAGCCGCTTCTTACTTACATAAGAACCCTGATATTTCCGATGTTCCGTGGCAAGGATGGACATGGTCTAGCTGTGTCACATCCCAACACTTCTTCATGATAAGCACATGCCATCTGTATGCGGTGGAAAGCTCAAGAATTGGTCGCTGGACCCAAAGAGCCCAATACCCGTTAGTTAGAGAATATACCTTAAAATATAAGGGGCTGAATATTCTAGATTTAAGGTATATTCCTCGATTAAGGAGTATTGGGCTCTTTGGGGAGCGCTCGACCTGTCAGCATGGCTCCTGGACCCCAGGGTTGCCTCGCTTTGCATTTTGAAATTGCGGCAGGCGGCTTCAGAACTCTACCCCGTTCTCAGCCGGGGGCTTGGGTCTTGCTAGTGGCTGATTTGCGCTGGAGGCGGCTGAGTATGCATGCAGTGATACTGGTACTGCAGGTTGATTTAGACAGCGGCACATGAAGCAACAGTCTTTTGGAGAATACTGCGCACCTGCTAACTCCAACATGCTTGCATCTCGCTCTTTATCTTTCTAATTATCTCTCTAACTCTCTCTCTCTCTCTCTCTCGCTCTCTCTTTAACTCTACCTCTCTCCCGCCCGGTGTATGCACGCATTCTCAGACCTGGCCAGCAGCACAGAAGCAAGAGACACGGAAGCACCGCGCAGGCGAGGACCTGCGAGGCCAGGTCCGAATTGCAGGGGACCTTCCCTCGTCCAGAGCTTCGGAAGGTTTGGGGTTTAGGGTTTTAGGGCTAGGGGTTCAGGGGTTTGGGGTTTAGGGTTTAGGGTATAGAGGTTTAGAGGTTTAGGGGTTTAGGGTTTAGGGGTTCAGGGCTTGGGGGTTAGGGGTTTAGGGTTTAGGGGTTCGGGGTTTAAGTTTTAGGGGTTAGGGGTTCGGGGTTTAAGGGTAGGGGTTCAGGGGTTTAGGGGTTCAGAGTTTGGGGTTTAGGGTTTAGGGTCTAATTTAGAGAACTACCCATACAGAAGCCTGAATAGATACCAATATTAACCAGTAGTAAATACTATTCCTTAGAGTTCCGTCATGTTCCGTCTTGCATTTAGACTATGATCCTCTCTTGAATGGTGGCCGTTGTTCATCCTTGTTTCTGATTCCGTGTCACTTGATTTGCAAATTGGATTCGGGCTGTGCTCATTAAGCTTACTGATGTTGTGATTTCTTCCAGCTGCCGCTTGCCAGTCATGCTCTCTGTTTCTCCGTTATAGTTCCATTTGGCAGCCACCGTACAGCCATCACACCGATGTCTTGTTAGTGGCGGCGATAATGCTGGCTACTGTGACTGCCATGATAAAGCCTTGATGGTTGGCTCATGCGTTTCGCACGAGGCACAAGACAGAAGAGTGCGACGTACGACCCCGTCCACAAAGTGTTTGCGAAGCCCTTATAAGTATAAGCCATCATTGCACCAACCGGGAGAGAGCAAGCCTGCCAGATGTAGACTGGCCCCCGACGACTCGGTTACGAGTCTGTGGATGTTCTAACTCAACCCCTAAACCCCGGCAGTTAATGTACTGTCATCCGCCAATGTGCGATCGCCGTACCAGGATCTCTCCTAGGCATGTCCGAGTGTGAGTGCTGAAACCCCAAATCCTAAAGCCCCAAACCCCGAAACCCTAAACCAGCAGATGCCAGGGGTCAGGGCCACCGTTCTTGCCGCTGTTGTTCCCCCAGAGCTCGGCTACATCCCCAGGAGTTGCTGGAAGGAGCTGTATAGGGTTTACCTAAACCCCCAAAGGCAGGTAAAATAATGGCCCAAAACCTATAAAAAGGCTATTATTCTACATACGCTTTGGGGGTATAGGTAGGGTTTCTTGTAGCTTTGTGTCAGCTGGCGGGGTTCGGTAGGCAGGGGGCGGCCGGGAGTCGGAAATCTTTAGGGCGCATGGTTGTGAAGCATGCTTGTCCCGCTGGTTGGGGTTAAGGCAATGCTTTCCGTTTTCCTTGCTACCAGACAAGTCCTTTACTCTGGGAAGCGGCCGGAAGTAATTATTTGCACATAGAGGTCTCGGCAAGCGAAGGCCCTTGAAGACCGTACCCAGAGGGTTCACAATGACGCCCCCTGAATCATGAATCAACTCAACTCCTGGAGCCCTGAACTTGACGCCGGTGACAGCCACACTCCAACATATGCAGGCAGATCGATAAAAGCCACCGCAGCCCGACCACAAACACCAGCGGACGGACAGCAACAGACCCTCCCCACTACCCAGTAAAGTTGCCAGGCAGCGGCACCATCCCACAGCCACGGTCCAGTATTCTGCGTTGATTGAGGTTATATAGTATAGAAGCTTAAGTAGTTAGCCATATTTTTCCTTGGAATTTCCTTACTGTAAATGCATTTAAACGGAACTCAAAACCCCCTTCTAATTATGAAGGCCCCTACATATTAGGCATCCGAATTCCTGCCTCCTCACAGCTTCACAGCCCCTACGCTTCAGAGGCTTCGACATCGTTGCGTGTCAGAGCGGCGGCTTCATCATCCGGACGAAAGGACCCTCATACAGGGTTTAGGGTTTAGGGCTTTAGGGTTTAGGGTTTTCCAGCTTGATAACCCGGACGAGAGGACCCTTCGCAACATCATGTTTGTTTTTGCATAGGATCATATAGATCGACTATCGATCAGCAGAGCTCAAAGCCCAAAGCTTGAAGAACTGAGCTTTAACATACAGAAAGAAACAAAACAGCAAGCGCCTCAAAGCCCAGATCCAAGAAACCCTGAAACCCCAAGCCTTTAAACCAACAAGCCCAGAGCTGCATTGTCGCTAACACTACAGTGCATGTTCTTTCTGAATGACCCCTGCAAGGCGGGCTTGTCCTAGCCAGGCGGGAGGCAAAAAAAAGGCAATTAAAGCTGCAGGAAGGGCCTTACCTGGCAGCTGCTTCTCGCGGCTGAAGAGACCCGGGGGCGACAGCTACCAAACTTAGCGCTCGCTCGCACCGGGCTTGACCCCTTAACCAGATTATAACACTTTACAAGATAATTTTCATTATATTCTACTACAGTAAGTCATACTATATTATATACTATACTAAATTACAAGTTTAGGGGTTGGCGGCTCCAAGGGCTTCTTCGGGATCTTAGTTTTGAGACCTCGGTGCCGAACCTACCTCCCAAATCCAAGCGGAAGACGTAAACCCAAAACCCTAAACCCCAAAAAAAAACTAAACCGCAGTAGGGGCCCCTCGAAGAGGGCAGAAAGAACTCAAGAAGTAGACTCTGGCTGGCCCTCGAAGAGCGAGGGCCAGTGCTGCTCGGACGGATGCACCGGGGGCCCGGTTGTGAAGGATTCCATAAGGCTAGAAAAACAGGGCTCTATTTTGGGTTTAGGGTTTGGGGTCTAAGGATTTCATAGGGGCCCTGTGAATAACGGCTCCAAGACGGGGTAGGGATTGTAGGGCCTAGAGGTTCTAGCATCTAGGAATCCAGGGTTAATTCGTGCACTGCAGCCCCTGTCCAAAAAAGGGTGCTACAGGCAGTCCAGGCTGTAGAGTGGTTTTCATTTTCGTGCGCTGCCGTCTATGGGATTCTAGACTTGCAAGCCCCGCAATCCTCAAAGCGCCAGCGAAGCCCGAAAAGAAGCGTAAACTGCGACGGCGTAAACTCTAAGACCCGAGCTGAAGACTCTACCGATAGCTCGAAGGGTACATGAAACCGGACTCTTGGCTCCCGTCTCGCAGTGGTTTAAGGCAGAGTCTCGGGTCTTGCGGAAGAAGAGAAAAGCATTCTTCCATGTCGAGTCCACGCTGTTTGGATGAGCGATGTCCTCCTGTTTAGCAGCCCGTTGATGTGCCTTCAACCCACGTCCATCGACCAAACCACCAAAACCTGCAGCTTACCTGGCCCGAGCCGAGCTGACACAGCAAGGGGTATAGTTCTACACACTTCCAGCCCAAGCACCAAAACCGACGTCAGTCTCAGTCAAGAAGTGCGAGCCTCGATGCCCAAGCCAAGTCTGAGATGAAATGCTCGCCTGGATTCACCCTACAACTCAGCCGCTAGCCGCCTCTTTGAGTGTTCGTTCCAAGGGAGAGTTCGGAGTTCAGACTCCCGGGTTTTGAAAGCCATGGCTGACTGGGATCCTTTCGCGGATCCGGGCGATGACTCGAGCCAAGCTCCCGCTTCGCCTCCGAAGCCAAAGCCCGTTGTTGAACCGAGCAAGGCGAAGAAAGGAGCGGACGATATCTTCGCGGCCCTGCGATTTTTGGAAGAAGGGGCTCAGCAGCCCCCTCCGACGGATGTCGACGAGTTCAAGGCCAAGCTGGACGTGCTTTTCAGTACACCAGATGGAGAGATAGACTCGGTGAAGAGCGCCTATGCAGAAGTGGCACGACTGTCGGCAGGAGATGGCTCTCGCACTATCTCCACCTGGCAGCGGGCATTGGGCATGTTGGAGGCCAAAGAGTGCAGCAATTTACTTGGGCTTTTGATTGATGATTCTGTGGGGCTCAATTCCGACCCCTCCAAAACCGGAATCAGTGCCATACACCTGGATGTTCCAGAAGAAGACAGCGGAGAAGTGGTCTTCCTACTCTCATGGGGAGGTGGAACGTTGCAAGACATGGAAGATGTTGCGAAAATGTATCGCGAACTGCTTCCGGGATGTACAATCTTCATCTCAACCAGCAATCGCAAGCAAAGCTTCGGTCTGCGATGCCAGTGTGCTTTCGGAATCAAATCAGCTGCAGAGGCGTGGTCAAGAAGCAAACGTCCGCCTAAACTCCTGGTGCACATGTTCAGCAATTCCGGCATCCAGGCTCTTAGCCACATCTGTTTCCTATAGACCCCATTATGGCAAATTAAGTTTTAGATTGTTTGGCTCCTTATCATCAAGAGCCGAGGCATGCATGCATGGACTGAAATTCTACAGGCTTGGGGCGCAATCCGGAGCTCCGAGGAGCACTTGGGGGTGTTGGACGACCTGCCGCCCCTCGAAGATGTGCTACGTGGCATTGTGATGGACTCCGCTTGCGACAGTGCTGTGCCCCTTGACTCTTGCATACAAAGCTTCGTCCAATCTATGGCCGGCACCGTGGCATTTGCTGCGTCTTCGGATCACGACGGCTCGGAGGATAGCAAGCGTGCGGCGGAGGTGGCAGGCAAGCGAGCTGTGGCTTCCTTGATCGGCTCGGCTTCAGTAGCAAAGTCCCACCTCTACAGCAAGCCACCCAAGACACTCACAAAGCTGGCCGATGCAGACACCGCGATTGTGCATCGGCTGGAGCCTCCCGTTCCCATGCAGTTCATCTACTCCAAGGATGACAACATCATCGTTCCCCAGGGTGTGGAGAGATACCTACAAGAGGTAAAAGATCGGCCCAGCCGCAAGGGGCTCTCTCAACCCAGGGTCTGGTGCCTCGAGAAATCCAGGCACTGCTTTCACAAGCTCACCGACCCTGTGGAGTACAGGAATTGCATCGCCCTCTTCGCTTCGAGTACTATGTCGTGACCTTTTTTGCTGGCTGTTTTCTCAAAAAATATGGGGGGAAAGTTTAACCTTAGTTTATACGATAGTAACCACCGTGTAGGTGCTTATAGGTCCCTTTAAGATTGCATGTCGCAGAACGTCGCCAGCGCCGGGGAATGTTGTGGGTGGATATAGCTAATGTAGCTTTTATTCTAAATCTTGCGGGCCTCCATGTTTAGCGGATTTTAGCATGTTCGTGTTTTGTGTGGTTGTAGAACGGAAAACAACGAAGCGCTGTCGCATGACATTTTCGCTCGCTGCAACAATAGCCATCACATTTTCCGCTGTCTTCCACTTTTGGCGTGCAAAAGAAATACGGCCGACCGATGCCCGGACTTCTTGATGTAACTTCATCCTGCCAAAGTAACACAGCCCCTTAATGCACCTTCCCTGCGGTGTTGCTGCCTGACTTGCGATACGAGGGACTGGTGAAATATGGTGAAATCACGAAGGGGCCGCACGCAGATGACAGGTGCATGTGCAGTGCGATCCTGCTGGTGAGCCTGATCACTTTCCCTAAGGCAGAGGTGATCCTGGACTGTGTCGTGGCCTCACAGGGAATTCGGCAAATCTTCTTGACCAGTGAAGACCAGCACCCTCATCTCTTGCGTAGCTTCAAGGTCTACTCTTGGAAGCTCAATGGATGTAAAACCATCTGCTTAAGGAGCCCAGAGCTGCTTCCATGTCAATGGGGTCCCGTGTCTTGCGATGTCTTCTGCCATGGTCCAAACAAGAACCCTGCAGAAAGCTCGGGCATCTGATGCAAGCAAGTAGTCGCGATGTCTAATACAAGACGTTTCTGGCACGCGCCTTCTTTCGGTCCGTCACTTCCGTATGGCACGGGCTCTGTCGGCTCGGCACTTCCTCGCCACTGAGCTTGCCATGGAGCACGCAAAGACGAAGCTGCAACCAGCATGACCAGCACGGGCGATAAGATAGCTGCCCTCGCTGGAAGAGCAGGTACTGCTGGGATAAGCGAGAGTGTCGTAGTCGGTCACCGTCCGCAGAGCACTTGCCCTCACTAGGTCACATTGGAATCTGGGGGTTGAGGAAGTAGGGGGCGCTGCCTGTAGTATAAATCTTAAGTACAGGTAGATCCTTGGTACAGAGATCCCCAAGAGAGAACCCACAACCTTCAAGAAATCCCACCATTTCGATTTATTTGTCAGCAGTGTTTGTCATGGGCGCTTTCCGCCTGGGCAGCCGCTACGTCGTGCACATCTGGCTTCCTGGCTGTTACTGCTGCAGATCTGAATAGGGTTCCTATTATAGGGATTTTGACGACTATAGGGGGAAACGAAACATGCGTAGCGCGGTGCCTTGTAGTTCCTAAATAGTTGTGGCAACTTCCCCTGTAGCTGCCACGGTAAATAACACTTGTCTTGTAACCTATTTGTTTCTCGCTGGCGACTTTCTTAAGGAGCGGCGCCCAGAGAGCCCATTGCTCCTGAATTCAGGAGTATAGCTCAAACTAAGGTATATTCCTTAACTAAGGGGTATTGGGCTCTCTGGGTCTGTTGGGCCCATTCCTTGATGTAGCTCGGCTAGATTGTGCAGCTTGTGCTTATCTTCTTGCGCAAGGAGAGGTTGTCCCTTATTGTTTGTTCAATCTCAGTCCCCCAGTTTGGCACCTGCCCGCAAGAAAACATAGCTAATGAAGAGTGTCGAAACCCTGAGCCAGTCGAGGTTGAAGTCACATATCGCCAAGGCCCCAAGGACATAACCTTGACACAGGGTGTTATATTGACAGACAGAGAATCCCCGTATTAGTTCCTAAATCTATATGTTATCAACTATTGTGATAACATCATACATAAATCTATATGTTATCAATTATTGTGATATCATCATATGCACCACTTATGCACCACTTGCCTCTTGATCTTGTCGGTGCTTCTGCATGTTACGCCCTAGGCCCTGGCTGCCAGCTCTTTTCTCCGAGCCTAATCTAGGACCAATGTAGGCGCCTGAATAATCACAAGCATCCCTTAGGGTTTTTGCAGTTTTCACTATGAAATACATTAAACTACCCTCAGGGTCCGTGTACTTAACGTACCTGATATAAGACAAATCCTTGTTGTAATGACAAGGTCCCTGTAATTCGTAAAGGCTCATGGGACTTAGTAAGTAAGGTTATAAGATATACCTGAAATTATTATTATTATTATTAGCATAACCCTACTTCGGTTACTTATACCCTTGTACACCTGCCTCAGGTTAGCTCTGGCCATCGTTCCGCAGGTTTGTGTGGTGGGCAGGCCCCTCTGGCATTGTTTGTGGCCTGAAGTCTCAGCAGTTGAGTGTGTAGCCTTTCACCGTCTTTTTAGTAGCAGCAGTAGCTATGGTGGTGATGGTGGTGGTGGTGGTAGTAGTAGTTGTTGTTGTAGTTGTAGTAGTCGTCGTAGTCGTAGTCGTAGTCGTAGTCGTAGTCGTAGTCGTAGTCGTCGTCGTCGTCGTCGTCGTCGTCGTGGCAGTCGTCGTCGTGATCGTCGTCGTGGTGGTGGTGGTGGTGGTGGTGGTGGCGGTGGCGGCGGCGGCGGCGGTGGTGGTGGTGGTAGAGTCGTAGCAGGAGAAGTAGCAGGTGCACGAAAACAACACCAAAAGGTCAACTGTTGTTGCCTTTACTGGAAAGTGGGCAAGTAACCTCATCCCTCTTCCCTTATTCACGCAAACCACATCTGTCGAGGATTCTGAACCAGTACCCACCAGCACCCATGAACCTCAAAGTCCTTCAAGCGAAGATTCCTGAAGCCTAAAGTGAGTTGGCACCAGAAGTAGAGTAGGTAGTTAGCTCGGCTGGAAGTGCCCAAGCCATTTGGAGTTGTTCAGTGCGGTTTTGAAGCAAGATGAAGCCAGATCTGATACCAGGCCAGAGATTACACAATGCCGAAGCTTTCCTGAGCCCTGAACCCCCTCCGAGGTATGAAAAGCCTCCGTGCTCGGATGGCGAGCACCTTGCATGCAAACTGGCCGGTCTGTTGTTTCCGAGCAGCACAACAGCTCTAGAAGAATTCCTGGCGGTAAGGCGAAGGCTTCAGGGGTCGCAGGCAAGGGATCGGGTCTCACGATCCTTTGTGCAGAGGAGGAGCCCTCAATAATAGCATCAAAAAGCTCCGTACGTAACTGCAACCATGCCTGCGGATCCGGATCCCGTGGCCTTTCTTTAGGTCTACTGTAGCCCGGTAGTGGCCTAAACCCTGAACTCGAAGTCTGCTCAATCTGATCGCCAGCCGCCAGACCAAACCTGGGGCGTCCTAGGCCCACTTCTATAGTCCTCAGATTGGTAGACACGGTTTAGGGTTTAGGGTCTTCTATAGTCCTCAGATTGGTAGACTTCTTAGGGGCAACCGTCAAATTAAACTCCTGAGGCAGTGCCGAAGCCTAATTCGCCTCACGTTGTGCAGCATCGGGTCGCGGCCGGACATGGCCTAGACTCTAGACCTGGATCACTGAAGTTTGGGCCTTTCGTCCTGGCAGCCCAGGACTCAACCCTTAACCACTATAACCCCTAAAGCCCTAAAGCCCTAAACCCTATACCCTAAACCCCTAAACCCTGCCAGGACACTTGCCACTTTCCGTGGAAGGTCGCTGTGCGTCAGCGGCCCTTTGGTTGCGTCTGAGACGACACATGTGTCTGCCCCACGCCCTAATGTCAGCCCGCTCACCGGTGAGGGAATTCCGAATGTGCTGGGTCTATCGTTTGACTGTTGTAGAGAGATGTCCCCCCAAAAGCTCCACCATGTAGGTTTGTTATTGGAAGAATGTCAACGGAGACAGTTGGAGCGAAAGAGCTGTGCGGAGTCAGTTGTATCATGCACCTGAGCACGGTCAGCACGTACCATGTCGGATCATTCCTTCAACGTATTTCCACTCAAGGGTTGCAGGGATGGCGTTCCGCCCAGCGGCGGCCTTCATCATAGGGCAAGTCAACCAGTCTGCCGCCTGCTGAGACTGCACCGGCGAAGCGACTGATGCATCTGCCGAGTGCCCCCAAGACAAGCCGAAGGCCACGCAAGGGGGTGGCTTGTGCTTCGGACATTGCCGCAACGGTGAAGCTTGCCAACAAAGAAATGTAGCTAGGAGGCATTATCGCGAGGTAGCAGCGTAAGCAGCAGAGCGAACAGGAAAAAGGATTGAAGCTGAAAATAAAAACAGCCTTCATGAACAGAAGCAGGTATTTCTAGTGTATTTATTCAGCAAACATCGTAGGGGCCTATTGCTCTCGACGTGTGAAGTCGGAGCCGCTTTTTACGTTGATCACGACTTTACACAAGTGGAAGGTTCCCGAAAAGTACTCGTAGTGTAAATTCGCGTGCGGCATTTCACGGCCTTCACTTCCAGAATCGGACCATTCATGATTCGTTCACTGGCGTCTAGCTGTTCAGCCAGCGTTTTTGAAGCCGAGCGAGGGCACCCGACAAATGAAAGAATGCACTCAAAGTCAGATGGACCTAACTTAACTGAGCTATCGTAGTCAGTATGCCTTCTCAAGCTAATTGCGCAAGAGCATTGCAGTAGCCACCTCGCCTACCATTGCTGTTGGCAGTGTCGCAACCGGGTTTCCATGACATCAAGATCTCGTCTGCCTATTAGTCTTTTGCTGTTGTCATGCCATTTTTCCCAGATGGCGGTACTAGCCGTCACTATACGTACTACGTGTTCAAGTCTCGGGCACTAGATCTCGTTGCGACCTCATTTGTCAAGCCGTGTTTGTAAGGGAGTGCGCCCATCTATTGAATCAATCTATTGCAGCATAAAGTTGCAAAGCAGCAACAGTAAGACATCCTGTTTGTAGATTTTCGCGTGTGTGCTAGCATGTAGTATCATGTAACATCATGTAACTAATATAAGTCAAGGCATTGTATATTTCCATACTCCATGCCATACTGGTACTATATGTTTTGGGTTGCTGCGCGGCAACAACACTAAAACCCGCGCGTTTACAAGCTAGCTGTTTGCTGTTTGCAGCGCAGTGCCACTGCTACGTGATTGTTTGTATGATCAATGTCGCACCTTGCCAATGCCCTGTCTTTCAATCTTTCGGGGCACGATGCGTGCGCTGACTTCGACGGTTTTCCCACGAGACATAACCCAAACAGAGATGCGAGGATACCTTTGGCAAGCCGGCCTGCTTCATGGTCCCTGCACCGAAAGGAGACACCAGTCATCCCAGCATGCAGCCTGGCCGAAGCAAAGCTCCGTTTTCCCGCAGCCACAACCCTGAGCCAGCAGGCAACGTAACTTTGAAGCCCCTTCACAAACCCAAGGCCCAAGGCCCTAAAGCCCCTCAAAGCCCTTGTTTGCTGTAGCTCCACGAGCTTCACTTCTGCAAGTCTTGGGAGGCTTCAAGCCGTGAAACTTCAAAAGCTGCAGCCATAAAGCCAAAAAGCACAGGAACTCTAACATAGAGCCACAAAAGACCCAAACTGCGCCAAACTCCGACTAGGACTACGGGGCCCCTCCCTGAGTTACTCATCCCTCCTCATGCCGCCGCATGCTTTTGGGGCATGGAAGCCTTGAGCCCTAAGCTCAGGATCCCAGAAGTATTCGCCCGAAAACGCCTAGAATGACAAGTTTGTGTATGTATGTATATATATATATACGATTCCATTCGTTGGGTACATGTGGTTGCGCTTGAGAGAGAGAGCCCTGTGGGAGACTTCTTGCGAGTAGTTTGTACTTCGACACGGCTGGAAGACTGCAGTTCGTACTGGTTGGCTGTTGGTGGTATATGTGCACATGAACGTGCTGCGAAGCTGTAGCTGCTACCCACTGCCGGATCTGAGCCTGCTTGTGTAACATGGTTTTAGAATCTTATAGGCTTTATGCGTGGCATGTTCGCACTGCGGGTTCATGGTGGCAGTGCCGTGTTGGCTGGTTTGGCAGAGTTCGCACAGGGACACGAGAACAGTGGGTTCCGCTTACTATGGGGTATGGTGATGGTGGTGAATTCCCCTGGTACAGTTCTCAGGCCCGTGCCTGAGTCTAATAGGCTTTCAGAGGAAAATCCTAAACTACGAACTAGATCCCGAAGCCAGAAACCCTAGAGAAGCATTTGATACGACCACCTTACTCTAAAGATCCCACGTCCCTAAACTTCTGAATCCTACTCTGGCCCATATAACTTAGAGGCGACAGCGCTATTGCGGCCTCGAGTGCCGAGGCGACAGCTACTGCACCGACCTGAGATCAGCCTCTAAGGGTAATACATACATACATATATTATATATATATATATGTGTCAAGTATAGGGCTTGAAGGGTGTTTAAGGACCTTTGTGTGCGTTGCTAGTTGTTCGAGGTGGTGGTTGGAAGTTGTTTACTTGTTTCAAAGGGGTCTGTAGTTTTTTTCGTGCTCTGTTCATAGGGGTTTAACCTTCTTGTTCTTCATGTTGTGTTATAGGGTTTAAGAGCTTTCTAAGTTTTAAAATAGGACCGTTGATACCGTGATTTCGTACCTTCTGTATCAGTTGCCTTACAGGGGCTACGGGATTTGAAAACGGTTTCATACAGAAATTTTCTGGCTCCAGCTTCCTTTGGGTATTTGGAGAGGCTACTACAGGCCTTCCAGAAGGAATTCATCGATGGAAAGACCCCTTAATCTATTGAAGCGCCCCTGAAGAGGGATAGTTGGTATACATTTTCGGCTAGATTCCTTACTTGATTTGAGGGCTATTGGAGTCCTGATCATTCCCGATCCTCGCGGCTCAGGATTTAAGACTTCGGGTTATTTAGGGTGCAGGTTGCGATCCAAGACTTTCAGTGCCGTTTGGGAGGTTTTGCTTTGCAGGTTTCGGGATTTCTGCGGCTGAAAGGTTTCAATGCGGGACCCCGGGGTTGAGGAGTCGATTCAGTGCCAGAAGTTGGTGTTGAGGGTCTGCATAGGATTTTCTAACTTGAGAAACCCTAAAAAGCCCTAAACCTTTCGAGGGTAGGTGGGAGGCACAAAAAAACCTTTCGAGTGGCCTGTTTCGTCAGATACTATGCTTCGGCCCCAGGCCCGTCGGCTGGGGCTGTTCGGTGTTGCATTTAGAAGCTGCGTACAGAGCTGTAGAACTTAGAAGCTTAGTCTTGTCGAGGTTCGGGAACTCGGGGACTAGATTGATTCTGCACAGTCGTTGGATTTGGAGGATTTTGCAGGCTTGTAGTAGGACTTTCATTTCTCAAAGGCTGGGACTAAGCTTCACGTCCACTCACGGTACGAGGTCCCCGTGGAAGCAAATGCACGTTCATAGACGTGCCGCTTGTTAGCAGCGATGGGAAGAATTAAGAAGGGGTTGAAGCGGTTTACGGTTTAGGGTTGCGGGTTTAGGGTTCAAGCGGTTTCGTCTTTGGGGCCTCACAATTCTGGTACATCAGAGACATCCCAACAGGCGTTCAGGTTTTGTTCGGTTTTCATGGTTGACCGTCCTCGTGAAAAGGAACCTAGTCACCGGACAGAATCCCAAAGGGTCCTAGGTAGTGTTATGGGGGATACTTTCCCAAATCATAATAACAATTCCTAATATAGAAACCCTACATTCTACTATATAGGTACTTTGGACCCTTTGGGAATATGTGGACAAAATGAAGATCTTGTGGGCACAAGGTTGGAACAAATGCTTGACTTCCCACAGCTTCAGTTCATGTCAGTTTTCATCTGTAATCAAGTCCAGTAATCAAGTCTCGCAAGTAATTTCTCAAGCCCGCCGTCAATCTGCGTTGACCAAACAATATGTACATACTGCGTACGCGTGCTGCCTATGCACAGTTTTGACTTTCCCTATAAAACGAAATGCAAGTTACGGGATTCGCTAAACCAATGTCTAATTACCCACACTTCGCGCTAACTATGCGTGACAGAGGAGTGCGGAAATCGACGAGTATGGTGATGTGAATCCCCTGGCGCGGAATTACCCACACCTGATCTCGGCCAACCTGCTGCAATAGGTTTCAGATCCGTTGCCCAGATGTTCAGGGCAGGAATAAGACTTAACGGTCAGATTCTGGTCACAAGTACTGATGAGTGATTGGTTGATTTGCGCATGGTGCGACTTGCTATCATGTTTGAGTGAAGCTTGAAGCAGCGACCCGCCTGGCCGACTAAGGACGACTTGCTGACTGGAGCATCTTGAATGCGTTCCTTCATCCCCTGTCGACCATGTTACCTTTATTTGACACAAGCGATTTCGTGGTTGCCCGCCTCCACATTCCGAGCATGCAGCAGCAGAGCGGCTAATATAGGGGCTTTAATGAATTGGAGTAGGGCTTGGGCTTGGGTATACTATATAGTTATAGTAGGAAGCCCCCAAATTCCTGTTCTAATTAATAAGGCCCGAATTACATTATTGGATTCAGGGACCGGCCATACCCCGGAATATTGGCAGCAGATTTGCACACTGCGTTCTACCAGAAAACATACCGACACCTGGACATAGAGATCTGATGGCTGACGCACACAACAAAAATCGCACATGTGTATACATACATGTGTAGAGTAATATATAGTACAGACATGCAGAATATGTGAGAGTGCTGGTTTAACAAGCAGCTGTCACACAAACCCACGCTTCCGTGGTGCCGAAGCCGAGGATGCACATTCGTGTGCTGAAATTGGTTGACAATTGACCCTTAATCAGTACTGTGATTTTTGGCATGCTAAGTGTTACAACTGCAGTCGCCAAAATAGTGACTGACAGTAGGCCCAAACATCCAACAGGGGCGATCGAAGCCGGTCACAATGCAGTTGCAACCAGACTTCTGCAGCGGAGTTGGCGATTTGCTAAGGTGCTGTTGCTGGCTTTTTTGGACGGGGGAGTCCCCAGGATCTATATAAATCATCAGCCAAGGTCGTTTTGGATAGAACAGGTAGCAGAAGAGCCGTGATTGGATCTTGCCGACCATCACCCATGACATGCATGTGGGCTTGGCTCACCTGAGAGGGGCGGCGGTCTCAAACTGGAGCGCATCATGAGAGGAGTAGGCTTCTGTGTTCCTAAAGAAGAGCAGCAGACACAGTCCTGCTGGCAGCGGTCGTAGCAGCAGCAGTAGTAGTTGTTGATTCGTAGTTGTAGAACCAAAAGGAGCAGAAGGCCCAGCGGTAGTATTAACCTAGTAACAGTACTGTTGTGTGTTTCTTATGGCTAGTCACGGCTAGTGACATCCGCAGGCTTCTAGGACCTTATCGTGATTTTGTAGTGCCATGGCGATGAGCAGAAGAAGATACCCGGAGACTTTGGCTGCAGCAAATACATTCTGCTTGAACACTTTGTCGCTCGTCCTACGGTGGATGGAGGAAATCTTGCA